TTTTTTTTTTTTGTGATTGTTGTTTGACAGGCCAGGCTGAGTTCAAACCCACTGGTGTATGTGGCCAGTGCCCTAGCTAAGGGCACCGAGCCAGCTATCTTTTTTTTTTTTTTGCTAGCTATTATTTTTATAAGGCTTGCCTTCATTTCTTTCTGTTTTATCTTTACTCCCCAGATATTCCTTTTGGCACTGCCTCATTTTTAATTTATTAAATATTAATATGAGAGTTCAGATGCTTAGGCTACATTGTTTTTAATCCTAGGTAACCTTCAAGCTGTAGTTGAGCCCTTCACCCAGGGGCCATGCTGAACACCCTCACATTGTGCACATTAGGTGAGATCCCGCCAATCACCTTCTCCCCTCCCTATCACTAAACTATATTTGTGTTTTTCTTTTGTGTGGGCATGTAATTGGTTTCATATTAGTATTGAACACATTGGATTTTTTTTCCTTTTTTTTTTTTTTTTTTTTTGTCAAGACAGAGTTCTACCCTATGCCCTGAGCAGAGTGCAATGGCATCACAGCTCACTGCTACTGCAGACTCAGGCTGTGGGCATCCTGCTGCCTCAGCCTCCCAAGCCACTGGGATGACAGGCACTTGCTGAGGTGCCCAGCTGGGTTTTTCCAATTTTTTTCATGAGTCAGGGTCTCACTCTCGCTCAGACAAGCCTTGAACTCCTGAATTCAAGCAATCCTCCCACCTCAGCTTCCCACAGTGCTGGGATTACAGGCGTGAGCCATGGAGCCTGGCTTTTTTTTTTCTCCCATTCTTTAGATACTTTACTAAGAAGAATGTGTTTCAACTCCATCCAGGTAAATAAAGTCTCCATCTTATGGCTAAATAGTAAGTACTCCTTGGTATACATATACCACAATTTGTTAATCCATTCATGGGTAGATGGGCACTTGGGTTGCTTCTATGCCTTGGCAATTGTGAATTGAGCTGCAGTAAACATTCTGATGCAAATGTCCTTGTGGTTAAATGATTTTTGTTCTTCTGGGTATAGATACCTAGTAATGGGATTGCGGGATCAAATGGAAGGTTGACTTTTAGTACTTCAACAAGTATCCATATTATTTCTTTCCATAGAGGTTATATTAGTGTGCAATCCCACCAACAGCACAGAAGTATTTCCTTCTCTCTGCATCTATGCCAGCACCTGCAGACTTGGGACTTTGTGATGTGTGTTAATGTCTCTGGAGTTAGGTGATATCTCAGAGGGGTTTTGATTTGCATTTCTCTGATGATTACGGATGATAGGCATTTTTTCATGTGTGTGTTGGCCACTTGTCATCTTCAGGGAAGTTTCCATTCAAGTCTCTTGCCCATTTATAAATAGAGTTGTTTGCTCTTTTCTTGTGAGTTGTCTGTAGATTCCAGTTATCAGCCCTTTGTCAGATTCATAGCATGCAAATATCTTCTCCATTCCGAAGGCTGTGTGTTTGCTTTAGTTGTGGTGCCCTTGGATGTGGAGAAGCTTTTTAGATTGATCATGTCCTATTTATTTATTTTTGGTGTTGCTGCAATTTTATGAAGAAGGGGGTCTTCTTCATGAAATTTTTTCCCAGGCCAATATTTTCAAGCGTTTTCCCTACATGCTCTTTTAGAATTTTTATCATTTTGTGTCATAAATTTAAATGTTTTATCCAGCAAGTCAATTTTGTTTTTGGGGGGCCGGGGGCTGGGTTTGAACCTGGCACCTCCAGTATATGGGGCCGGTGCCCTACCCCTTTGAGCCACAGGCGCTGCCCTGCAAGTCAATTTTTGTCAGTAGTAAGAGGTGTGGGTCCAGTTTCAGTCTTTTATCTGTGACTAACCAGTTCTCCCAGCACCATTGATTAAACAGAATTTTTTTTTCCCCAGTACCTGCTTTTGTTTGGTTTATCAAATATCAGACAATGGGCTGAGTGCCTGTAGCTCAGTGGTTAGGGTGCTGGCCACATGCTCTGGGGCTGGTGGGTTTGAACCTGGCCCAGACCTGCTAAACAAACAAACAAACAAACAAACGTCAAGCATTGTGGTGGGCGCCTGTAGTCCCAGCTACTTGGGAGGC